CTGCTCTGCTCTCTGCTCTGCTCTCTGCTCTGCTCTCTGCTCTGCTCTCTGCTCTGCTCTCTGCTCTGCTCTCTGCTCTGCTCTCTGCTCTGCTCTCTGCTCTGCTCTGCTCAAAGCAAATTTACAATTTGTGTCGCTTAATAAAAATTTAAGAATAATCGGAGTTTTCAGACTCTGCAGAAAATAGGTACTTCTATAAAAAAGTATTTTGAGTAAACTTTTTAGACATATAAGCTTATCGGGTATTTTCTGACCTTGTTTGTTACACACAGAAGGTTAAACAATCGGTCTAAACCTTTTGAAAGGAGTTGAACTAGATTTATCCTTAATACGTGCCCACAACATTATAAATGGAAAGAAGATAACATTTGATTTAACGCATTGCTCCATCCCACTAAAGTTTGCAATATTTTGCTTATTCTGCGAGTATTTTTGACATTGTTTTTTCTTTCTTGCTTAGAAGTCTTTGCAAAAGACCTTGCAAAGAGAGATATGCAAAAGTGAAATAATGAGTGAAAATTGTGGCTTAATGAATATTTTTGTGACAGGGTGGTAAATGGACTTGTCTATTATGGAGTTACGCTTGCCTCGGATACACTCAGTGGAGCTATGTACCAAGATTTCATCCTTACGTCATTGGTGGAATTTCCTGCCATTGTCTTCGCCATATACTTTTGCAACGCGTGAGTTCTATTCAAAAATTAACAGATAGCTGCATCTTTGGTAACTTTGTCAAAGAAATGAAGTGTATAAACATGTTTTATAACTACAACCGCTGATTTATGATTTTCGAGGCAAAGGTTTAGCGCAAAAAATTTATTAGTATTGTAAACCTGTGGCAGGAAAGTTGTATGGAGGCTTTGTCTAACAAAAAGTCGCTTATTCATTATCTTGAATACTTGAATACTGAATACTTAGATATCTGTACGCCTTGCTTTTGCAAACCCAACGTCTAAGTACTTTTTGCTTTGACCTTTTTGTAGTTTTGGCAGAAAAAAGACAGTCATTATCTCGTTAGCTACTGCCAGCATTGCCTGTCTTCTCATTCCAGCGATACCTACTGATCAAGGCAAAGGTATACACGACTAATTCTTTCTTTCATCTTTCAAAAGATTCTACTACAAGTTACAGCCTTGATTAGCTAAGAATAATTCATGAGCTGTCAAAGGAAACTTTTCACATGCAAGCTCTTCTTTCGGGTTATGTGATTTCAGAACATTTATAAATTCAAGTGTAGCAACTTGAACAGCAAAGCGACGTTGATTTTCTATATCGTTTTGAGAAGATCTGGGTTTATTCCACAGTAAAACGAGCCCTTATGATAAGACATATAAAGATCAATGCTTTGCATGGTTTTCCCGATATAACTGAAATCCTTTCTTCGGCAAGGAACCCTTCTACAAATGTAGGGTCGCCGTATGTACGATATGCAGTTTTTAGTCTATAAATATTGAAATAAAAACCAATTTTTTCTTTCAATTCCCTGAAAAATTATTGAGATTCAAGGTTCTTTCACAGCGTAGGTCTACTCCAAACCTTTTCTTCTCGTCCTTTCCATACCAATTGCTCGCCAGAACAGCTAATTCAACCTTTCGTTTAGTTAATCTCTTGGCATCAATCCAGGTACGCCCTGAACTCAAAAAACTTGAAAGGGACCCTGGTTCTGTGCCTAGTCAATCAAATGATAAAAGATTTTTAGATTCTCTTTGTAACAAAACAGCAGTAATGATAAAAGGAAAAGGTTTTATACGTTGTTTTGGTATTAGAAATTGTAAGGAATCAAGTGTGTGAGAGGTTTCAGAAACAATTTCCCATTTTTAAATGCGGGTCTTGCATACTCCATACTCCATCTGGCCCTACCGTCCTTGTTGTTCAACTGACAAAATTAATAAATGTATTTTTTGCAGGCTTATCCATATTGCGGATCCTTGTTGGAATGATTGGAAAATGTGGCGTTGCTACATCTTTTGACAGTTTATATACCTGGGCAGTTGAAATTTACCCGACAGTCATCAGGTATAATTGTCCGCTAATAGTCAATTACATTTTCATCTTTTCTTTGTTAATTTTTCTAAACAATCTTTTGATGGTACAAAACTTGTAATGGCTTTGAAAATTGCAAACATTTGAGTAAACGTAATCTTTTCGTCTGACACTCTTCAGAGTTTTAAAAGTCAGAACATAGATCGAAAGCTCTACGCTAGGAAATAAATATACCCAGTTTTGGATCGAAAAAGGCCAATCAGAAACAAGAGCACATGACTGTAAAGGTTGACCAATCAGTGCCGCTTGCCTATAGAGAATGTTACCAATGGAGTCTTAAGGTGAAAACGAACTCCTTTTGTCTACACAAAAGCGGCTTTTTCGTGCTAATGAAGATAGATTCCAAAACTGCTAGATGGAATAACGATCGAGCTTTACCAACAAGACGAAACATGTCGCCATTATAAACCTACGATTCTGCTATCGGGCAGCACAATCTGGGTATCCAGGTTTTAGTGGCACTTTTAGATCTGCAAGAACGAGGTGGCTGCTCTCTTTGGGGATGGATTTTGTTTGTAATACCAGATGGAACATGCTGTTTTATTCTATCCTACAATCCTTGGGTAGTGCGTCCTACGTAGCCAGAATCACACTGACACGTAAATTCATATACAACGGAATTCTTCTGTGAGGTAGGACCACAATCTTCTTAAATGGAGGGAAGGGCTTTTTTACTGTGTACAAAGCGTGGATTCACGAAGAAACAATTTGAAATGGCCTGTTTTATCTGTTTCCCAAAACGCACGGAACTGTTACGGATTCAAGGTAGTTTCAGATTGACCGGGCAATGTTGGGGACCAAATTTTACGTCAACCGAGAAATTTGTTATCTTCTCCCCAATGTAAACTGGAAATTTGCTATCTTCTCCCTAATGTAAAGTTTAGACTCGAAGCAAATCATCAGTGCCCTATGTGTAAGCGTTGTTGATGAGGCTCACTTTCTTTTATTTTGGGCAAAACAAACTCTATCGAGTGTATAACCCCGAAAATTTGGGTTTACGGTAAACACTAGTGAGAAATCCAGTGCCAGACTTCTTAACCCTAACATTTAGAAATGGCAAAGAGCTATTTTCTTTCTTTTCAAATGTAAACTTTATGGCTGGGTGAAGGCAATTCAGGCATTTTAGAAAAACATCACACTCAGCCTCAGTTTTGGAAATGGTATATATTAAAGATTAAAGGCAAACAATTCCGTAAGTTAATATTTTCGGACATTTGTGGCGTCCGAAAATTTTAACGTCCAAAATTTTTTGTCATCCGAAATTTTTGATGTCCGAAATTATTTGCAACACGGAAAAATATAGCAAGACATTTTTTTTGTTTAAGCTGTGTAATTTTTGTGTTTAAGATGTATATTTTCTTGTTTACATATTTTTGATATATAAGAAACTGCTTTATAACAAACCTACTAGTAGAACTTAGGGTAAATTGTAATAGATTCTTTAGATAAAAAATAACAAAACTTCTAGTAGAATTAAGGGTAAATTACAATAGATTCTTTTGTTCTCTTGTTTTCATTAACAATACAAAACAATAGCAAATTTAAGAAACTTCTACTAGTAGGGCCTGAGCTAGGTTTCTTATAAAATAAAAAACGTGTACAAATCCGCACAAAGGGAAAGAAAGTGTAGAGAGAGGCACTGAGTGATACAAAATTGTTTTTTGAAACTAAATTTAACCAAAATCAGCCTCATCATTCTCTAAAATAATAGTATAGTCCTCGTCAGCATGATCATCGTCAAAACTGTGCTTGCACGTTGGTTGATCAGCTTTTATGATCACATGCAAAACATAATTGAAGTTCCTGACGAGGACCCATTTAAACACTAATAAGCAGTAATGAACCGTTTAAAAAAACTTTAAAGAGTAACCTTAAGATATTATTTAAAAGCATTAAAAACAACTAAATACATGTTTTTTTTGCATTCGCCCGAAATTTCTCTGGAATCGTCCGAAATAACTTACAAAAACGTCAGAAAATGTTTTGTCCGAAATATTTATGTCCGAAATTTGTTGCCTTTTAATGTTTGTGTTCACATATCAAAAATAGACACCTGGCTGATTTCCAAAAAAGGGGCACAATTTCCAAAAAGGGGCGCCATACTTGCTTCAACTCGTCCAGGGAGGGGCAACTGCCCGTAGTTGCCCCCCCCCCAAATCCGCCACTGCATAGTGACACCATCCTTTTGTTGGTACATTTCATTGTTAAAGCTGAATTCAACTGAACGTGTCGCAGTCTCCATCAGTTCAATTAATACTCTGGGAATGGTGGGCTATTAGGCTCGCTCCGGTAAAAAGTATCGGCGCATGTTTTGATGGTCTCACTCAAAAGAACATTTGTGAAAAGACTGCTAATGTCAAAAGAACACATGAAATATGTTTCGTTTTCGATGTTCAAGTTTTGCATGAACACAGCGAACGTAGAAAAATCTTTTGTACAATTTTTTGAATATTTTTGAAGAACAGGGTCCAACTCTTCAGAAAGCCACTTAGCCAATTCATGTTGAGCTGAGTCAATCATTGACAATATTTGTCTGAGTGGAACATTCGGTTTATGTATTTTAGGGAGGCCATACATTTGATTCTGTGCTTCGATGCAAGGAACTGCAAAGTTAGAACATTTTAAAAGGACGATAACATGCTCTTTCCCTTGTAAATTGGTAGGGCTGCAAAGACAATATCTTCCAAAAGACATAGCACGACAATATTACAACTTAAAATGATAACAGGGGCGGATCCAGAAAAAAACCTGAATGAGTCCCAGGCCAAGGCTAGGGACTTTCAGATATTGATCATTGTGGATAAGACAACATTATTATTCTTTTTTATGCATTTTGGTACCATTGAGGGGGGGGGGGAGATACTATCTACTCACTAAATCTAGCTTATCGATTTCCTGCCGACAAAAAGCAGTGCCTCTGTGAAAATTTTTGGTAAACCCCTCCTTTTCTCGATACCCTTTTGGTTGTTTTCGATGCCATAGCAAAGTTTTTCCTTCTTGTTTTGCTCGCAATTCGTTGTTTTGCCTCCGTAGACACCAGCCTATTCATCAAAATATGGTGTTCTGTCTGAAAATAGGTTTTCCGTGCCATCAAAGACTGCAATTTAAAGCAAAGGTAGTTAACACTCCTGGAAAATTAACGATATCTCCTATTTTATCAAACACTTACTAATCTGCTAGAATGCTGCGATGGTCGCGATTCAATGTTTTGCAGACTGCAAATTGCAGTTCGACAACAGAACAGAAACAATAGGTAGCCAATAAACCACTGGCTATTTTACAGCGCTCTTACAAATATGGTATCACTTCCGCTTTCCAGATGCTGTTTTGACTGAGCTCCATCCGTGTTCCAAACAAAAAGTTCATTGTTTCAATTCGTTCACTTCCGAGACACAAAACGTTTATTTCCGAGTTCTAGGATTGACTGCTTGTCCGCCACAGCGTCTGGAAAATCGTTACAAAATCATGACAGAGAAGAAACTGGCAATTTTAAGATTTTGAAGAGACTGTGACGAAACTTAAAATTTTTAGGTTTCACTTTTTTAGTTTGAATATCACTTGTTTCAGGCAACATTATCTTTAGCTATGTGTTGGAAAACTGATTGAGTTCTGTGCAACAAGGAACTCACTCTGGATCCGCCTCTGGATAAAACGTTAGTCGATCCGCAATTAAATGAGTCTCTGAAAAGTCTCCTCTGTTGTAACCTAATTTGCGATACAAGCGGATGAAAAGCACTGTAGGGGTCCTTGGATGATAACAGATGGTATTTCAGGTGACCAAGTCAACCTGTTAAAAAACACTCTTTTTTTATAAGAACAATTTTATAAGAACACGAGCCTCAAAATAGGTCAAAAGTTAAGAACAAATTAAAAACAAGCTGAGGCTGAGCTTCTGCAAAATGCAATTTTGAACAACGTTTTTTCTAAAATCGAGGATTTTTAGCGACGAGTGGGTGCTTTTTCATCGAATATTCGAACTTTTCGGCAAATGAAGGTTGTCTCACTCACTTAGTTGGCAAATGAGGCCTGAACACCTCCCTAGAGCGAAAAAGCTAGCACTCGCACTGCTTACACCCTATTAGATTAAGAACAAATTAAGAACAATCCAGCCACAGATTTTCGAAAAAATTAAGAACAGTCAGCCTGAACTGAAATTTACTGGTTCTTATAAAAAATGAGTGTATTAGTTAGCATTATTACCATTAGTAATTACTCAGCTCCTTCACCGAGAACAAACTCCGAGTAACTGCTCAACTTACGAGTTTTCACTTATAGTTTTATAAGAGTTTTCATTCACGTAAAATCTGAGCCGATACTTTGCCCAGGATAGCTAAAATTCTAACAAAACTTCTAGGAATTGTTTTCTTTTCAATTTAACCTCGATCAAATTATAATGTAGCTCTGTGTTTAAAGGAAATGTGCTTTGCACCAAATCAGTTTTTGTTTAACGAAACCATGTTTCATTTGGCGCAGATCACAGGGGCTTGGACTTTTGCAAATAGCAAGTCGAATTGGATCCGCAGGGGCACCATGGATTGCTTCCGGACTGAGGCCGGTACACGCCTCGTTGCCCTTCATTGTCATGGGAGGAAGCAGTTTGATTGCCGTTGCTATGTTGTTTTACTTGCCAGAGACCAAAGGGGTGAACATTGCCGAAACGCTTGGAGACAAAGATGGAGGCAAGGAATTCACAGTTGATTTCCAGAAAGAAGCAGACGGTGTCAGTGCCAAGGTTAACATGGCCTACAACAATGCTGATGAGGATTCGCGACTCTAAAACACTTTGAAGTCTTAGTAGCTGCCAAAGCTTCCATCGGAATTAATAACTATTTTACAATCACAGAGGACTATGCTTTATTGATGTTGTATATTTGATGATCTACTGTAAATTGAAATTCACTGTTGAAAACGAATAAATATATATTTTGATACAGCATTGTTGCTTTGCTTTCTTTTAAAATTCAAATAATCGTTTTAATTTTATGAGGTTTATCAGTAACTGAGCTGGCACCAGAACAACAACTCATGAACCATAATTAGTTATTCTTAAAAAATTTGGATCGCAGCACCCGCATAGCTTTAAACTTGCTACCTCTAACTAAATTCGCCTTTAGTTTTGGACAAAATGGCTTTCTTGACGCCTCCCGTCGGGTTTTGCTATTGTTAAAATTCAAAAGTACTTCGGCCAAAATATTTTATAGCAGGAAGAAGGTAGATTGGTTTCAATGTAGTTTTTGTATAAGTGGCCTTTAGATTATTCTCGCTCCCAAAAGATTACGACCTTTTGAGTCACATTTAAGCTTTTCGTCTGACACTTTTAAGAGTATAAAACGTCAGAACATAGAATAAAACCCTAAGCTAGGAAATAAATATTACCCAGTTGTGGATCGAAATAGGCCAATCAGAAACGCGAGCATTTGACTGTTGAGGTTCCCAATCAGTGCTGCTTGCCTGTAAAAAATGGAGTCCTAAAGTGCTAGATGGAACGGCGGTTGGGCTTTGCCACTAAACCGAAGAATGTTGCAACTATAGTTCTTAGTATAATCTGGGTTTTCCAGCAAATGCTGCCCGATAACAGAATCTCATAATTTAGTTGTAGTTTCTTCAAATCTACAAGACCAAGGTGGCTGTTCTCTTTAGGGGTGGGTTTTTTTTAATGCTAGAAGGGGCATGCTGCTTTACTCTATACCCCAAATTTTTTGGTTGTGTATCCTACGTAGCCAGAATCACACTGGCTCGTAAACTCTTGATAACGGAACCTTTTTTAGCTGCTTACGTCTACGGTTACGTTTAAGGTTACTTTTTCAGAGCCATCAATGAAAGCCCTCGCCCAGTTCCTTTGAATTGATTGAAGGACCTTTTTTGGTACCATACGTATACACGGATTAACAGTGAAGAAACATTTTGGAATGGTCTATTTGATCTGACTTTCAAATCACAAGGAGAATTCGATTGACAAAGTAGACATTTTTCAAATGTCCAACTTGGTGTCCATGTACATGGAGGTCATTTCAATATAAGAAAGAATGTTATCCATAGAAGTTCTCTTCGAAATAAAAAGTCTTACTAAAATATAAAGAAAATCAAATATCAAAGAGCTGAAATCAACATGATTACAAGTCAAGAATACTAACTTAAAAAACCTTTTGAATATTTATCGTTCAAAAAAATCCTGTAGTTTTTTAATTAACCTTAAGCTTTGATACCGATATTGGCCTTTTCCGTTTCACAGATGTCTAAGGCGGGACTTTTTTTATAAACCATACCTAATTTTAAGGTGCATCGATAGCCACTTTGTGTAGTAACAAAACGGTTTTGTGAAGCAAGCAACAGTTAAAGTGTGCAGTAATAGGACTTTTCATACTTATGGCATTTATAAAAATTCACTGATAAATTTTTCTTCTAGTATCTTTGTAGCAAATGGGGGTTGCTCACATTGATAGAAAAAATAACGGTCATGGGAAACAACGTTTCTTCAAGGCTCCACCCTTTTTCATGCGAAATGTGCAATAATTAATTGTTCTTAGATTTAGGTATGCTATAAATGAAGTCTGCACTGATCTAGAGATTCCTCAATAAAGATATGGTCATTCAAGAAATTTGTAGATTTGTAACCATAGAATGTTGTGACAGAGGCCTAACATGCAAATCTGCATGGGAGATATCTTTTTGGTGACACTTCGTTAGTGTTTACGACGACACAGTTCTGTCACTTGGAGATTCAAGAAAGCTAAAAGCAGCTGCCAGATTTAGGCCCCATGGCGTCAAATGCAATAGCTACGCATTGCTAAACTAATTCTTTTGGATCACTCTGTTACGATAGAGAGAATTGTCTGCAACCACTCATTTCTTCATAGTGGCAGAATGATGAAGAAAAAAGATTAGAAACCCAATTTAGGCCATAAAACGAATAGCGAGAAGCAAGATAAACAAACATGTGCAGCCTCGTATCTATTTACACTTGATTGAGGTTTT